CTAAAAACGCGTTTTAACTCACAAATATTTTATGCTTGTTTTTGAAACTTTGGAAATGATGAAAATGTTTAAGATTGCAAATTTTGAAAATTTTGATATCGCTTCTACTCGCAAAACCCTATCATTTGATACACATCTCAAGGGGGTTGTGAAGAAATAGGTAATCTTCACCTTGAGGGGCCGCCATATTGGATTTAGTATGACGTCAATAATCTTATCGTTTTCTACTGGTCAAACCCTTTTATTTGATACATATACGAGGTGTGTTCAGAAAATAATGGGAATTGTTAAATTTCGCGGGTTCGGAGGGTCCGGTTGTCATAAAATTTTCTTTATTATGTTGGTATACATGCCCCCAAAGTATGATAAAAACTTTGGCTGTTTTCATTGTTTACTTTGTCTGTGGCAGCCGCTAAGGTTAGACGTGTTTTATGAGCTCGGCGATTTTTCGTTCGTTAAAAGAAATGGATCAAAGAATTTGTATCCAATTTTGCTTAAAAAATTAAATAAATTCTGTGAAATGTTAACAAAGGCCTATAGTAAGTCTGCTATAAGTAAAACAAGAGATTACAAGTGGTATAAAAGTTTCCAAGATGGCCGTGAAGACGTTGAAGATGACGAACGCACAAGTACTTTAACAACCGATAAAAACATGAAAAAAGTGGAAGAAATGGTTATAAACCATCAGAGAAGTCGTTGATGATGTAGGTATATCGATTGACTCATCCCATGAAATTTTTTCAAATGTTTTGGGTATGAAACGCGTGGCAGCAAAATTTGTTCTAAAATTGTTAAATTTTGAACAAAATGCCTCTGTCTGACTTTTTCCTATTCCCAAAGATAAAGAGAACCTTAAAGGTCCGTCGTTTTGCAAGCATAGATGACATTAAGAGCGCATCGCTGAAAGAACTAAAGGCTATTCCAAAGATCGAGTTTTAGAAGTGTTTCGAGTATTGGAAGAAGAGCTGGCACATGTGCATAATATCCAATGGGGACTACTTTGAAGGCGACAACATTAATGTAGACAAATAAATAAACATTTGTTTCAAAAAACGAAAACTCCCGATATTTTCTGAACACACCTCGTATATGGGCTACCTGAAGGCTATATCAAGGAGGTTGTAAACAAAACGGTAATGCGACATCTTGGAGCGGCGGCCATTTTAATTACAATGCTAAGCATACAAGATGTATTGTAACCAGCACAAAAAGTTTCAGCTCAAAGTAGGTTTAAATCGACTTTCTAGATTTGTGGTCATTGTGAAGCTAGTAACACGTACAAAAGTGATGTTAACTGTTAACTGCATTTTGGTTAACCTTACTCAAGACAGTAGGTAACAAAAATTATTTAAAACTTTTTGTTTTAGGACCAGTCAGGGAAGAAAAACTGATGAAGCTAATTCGTGAAAAATACTTGACTTCAAAACCCCAAAACACTTTTTAATACATTTTCTAAATTTTTGTCCCATTGTGCGTTGGACAGTCGATGATGATGATGACGATGACGTTCGAAGAGATCCTCTGGAATGCAGTGAATCACGTATCATTAAAGTGGTGGCGAATCGAATAAATTTACCTTTTGTGAACTGTTTTATTTTTACACGTCGTCGTTTAAGGTCAATGATTTTAATGTGGTAATAGCAAAGCAAAAGAGGTATTGATTTCATAGACGTATGTTGTATACGATTTAAAAATATTTTGTTACATTGCCACTTGTTGACATTTTCATCAGATATTAATACAATTTGATATTTTTGTAGGTTTAGTTCGATTTTTAAACAGATAAACAGTTTAATGGATTTATACAGGTGACAAATTTGGACAAAATGTGCCTGCTGTGACTTTATGGCGTTTTAGTCACGGGCTGAAGTTAACAACAGTGGCTTTTGGGCATTTTAGTCACAGACTTATTATAAATTGCGAAAATGTGAGGTAAAATTCTTCAAATGTCAAATATTTATGAATTAAAATTGGCTTTAAATTCCTATTTCTATTCGTCGTAGATAAAGTAGAGTATGCAACTCCTTTTATAAACTTCTCCAGACACTCGTTTTTATTAAACACTTGCTCGCCTCTTCGCTCGTGCCTGTAAAACTAAAATGGCGTTTATAAAAATTGATATATAATATACTACTTATCCACTCCTACATTGACGAGCTCTGCTTTATTAAATTGTTATAAAATGAGGTTAAATTCGTCTGACAGTTTGGCAAATTTCAATTAAAGGTTGCTTTAAATTCTTAATTGTGTTCGTCGTATAGTATGCAACTCGTTTACAAACCTCTTTAGTTACTCGTTTTTATTAAATACTTGCTCGTAAGCTTCGCTCGTGCCTTATTAAAACTTGTGACCAAAACACCGTTTACCAAACTTTGCGACAAATTTGGGGTGAGTATACCTACCTATTTAATAATAACCCCTTACTGGGTTTGTTAAACTTGATTTTTTTATGGCCTTTTTGATTTTTTATCAATTTATACGTCAAATTTTTATTACATTTTTTTGTCAAAGTTTCTCGTTTCTTTTTGTGAAAAGGTTTATAATCTCAAAATAATTTATATTTATGAAGATTTAATGCAATAAAATTTAGTTTTTGGGGATAATTTTCTTATAAAATTGCCTTTTTTTCCTTTCTTTAGTCTACCTCACTTAATATTATATTTTTAAATTTAGGATCATAAAGAATTAATTTCTAGCCATAATCGCTATAAATTAAACTTTTTTTTTTTAATTTAAATTTTTGCTTTAAAAAAAATTAAATTTTTAAGTTCAATGTTCAACATGTACCCTGTTTTATAATTTTAAGTCGCATTTGCATTACATGCGTAATTAAACGTCAACATATTTTTTAATTAACTTAAACTATTTTTATAAAAAAATTTAAATTTAAAAATTAATTTAAAAAAAAATTTGTAAATTTTTGTAAATTTTTAATGAACAATTTTGTTGTTTTTTATTACCAGAGATATAATTTCATGATTTTATGCAGTGTTGCCAACATGGTCACTTGGTTTAGGAATCCCTAGAATTTCTTAGTTTTAAAAATAATTATACAAAAGGTGATAAATAAATATGTTTTTATTTAAATGAAACAAACAATACTAATTTTGGATAAATTAAATGTGTAATAAAAATAAAAGACAACACAAATAAAACAAAATGTTTAAATGATTGTTTTAAACATTCCGACAGTATACTGTCATATACTATAGTAAAAGTCACAGGAACTAGGAAAAATCAATAAGTTGGTACAGTATGCTAGTATCAAGCCTGCTTACACTTCAAACCAAAAATGTTAAATATTAAGTGAGTTAGACCAAAGAAAGAGTAAACATTGCAATTTTATGAACACTTGGCCCTTAAAATTTGATTGCATCATGATATCAATTGTTCAACAAAATTATTTTTAGAATTAAAACCTTTTGATTTGATAAAATATTTAATTTTTAAGGGAAATTTGAGGTATGCCAATTTACAATTAGAAACATAAAACTGAAAAAAATTCGAAACAAGTTTTACAAACCTGTGTAATATAATATAATATATATAATTTTGAACCATTTTACTTACTTTACATTTATTTAGTTCTGCCAAGAAAACTGCGATCAGATTATGAATTCATTATATCTTTAAGTTTAAATAATATTAATAAAAATTACCTTAACTAAATTAATAAATTGAAATAGTTTTTCTATGAATGTTAATATATTTATAATCATGGGAAATAATTGGTACACAATTACAAGCTTTCCGGTGTAGGCAACTACTTAATATAATAATGTTATTTTTTTATTATTATTTAATATTAATAATAATTTAAACGAATTTTCTATTGCCGACCAATTTAAACGTTAAACGAAATCGATGTAATTTTCTTAATTTGTTGACACATGACACCAAAATGATTTGAATAAAAATTAGAAACAGTTTAAGTCGTGGTCTATTAAAGGTTACATGAAATAAAAACCGTTAAAATTGCATTTTTAATTCTATACCTTCATATATTCAGTAGGTATATTTTAAAATTAAAAAATATTAAATATAAATTATCTTTAACAATGTTAAACAATTTAGTAACTATTTCTTATAGTTAAACTTTTAAATGGAGTTAAATAAAATAAAAATGAATTATTTAAAAATGACTAATTTAATAGTTATTAGTGGCTGCTTTTCACTTGTACCATGGTTAACCATGGAATACCATGGTATCCTAAAAGTTAACAGTCAATTCTTATGTAAAATTGTCCCCTGAATCCGAAAATATCGTCAAAAATAATGAAAGTGGAGCAGTTTTTGAGATATAGTCAATTCCATATTAAATAGAAAATTGACTATATCTCAAAAACTGTTCTTCTTTTTTACCTTTGACTACATTTTCGGATTCAGGGGACAATTTTACATAAGAATTGGCTGTTTAATTTTGGGATACCATGGTATTCTATTGTTAACCATGGTACAAGTGAAAAAGCAGCCACTAATAACTAATAAATTAGTCATTTTTGACCAATTCATTTTTAGAGAGTATAAACTTATCAAAGATTGGCTTCTAAAAACTATTTAATATTTTGTATTGAGATAATAAAATAATTTTCACATTTTAGTATTAATTTACAAGGGCACTTTTTAACGATTCTCTGGCATTTGACAACTCTCAACTAACTTAAAGCTAACTTCAGCCCGTGACTAAAAACTTGTTGCTAACTTCAGCCCGTCACTGCTTGTCAATGTGTATTTAAAAGATCACTTTTTTGTCGGTCTAAAATTTCTTTGGTTATAAATCTTGTTAACTTTCTAGAAAAATCATTGCCACTTTTGACCATGTGTTGTGGATATATTATAGGCATAAGTTATACCGCATAAGAATATCAAATTTTTCAAACACGTGTAAACTTTATATAAACAATATATAAAAAAATATTGTAATATTTAAACTCATATATGCAGGTACTATTTATTTTATATAGCAAAATCATGTTTCCTTAAAATTAACTTTTTCTTACCGTTTTTAAATTTTCTCAACAAGTAACTTATTCAGAGTCTTTTTGATGGCATATCACTTTGGCAAGTAAGAAAAATCACAGATTACGTCGAAGAAATGTCACATTTCACATAAAACAACAGAAAATCCAGTTAAAACTGTCAATATTTGAAGCCGTTGGATATTTGTTTAGTTCGATCAGAGTAGGCGCGCGCGATGTTTTTTGGTGTCGCGTGTGTGAGCCGGGTCTTCTATGCGCGTGGATGGTCGGTAGTTGAATCAACACTGAAATCCCGGCGTGCCATGCTATGCAGCCGAATAAAAGAAAAGCGCGCACTGTGACCGTCATGATGGGTTGGAGTGGAACAGGGATGGGGATAGAAAATTAGGAAAATGGGTTTTATTGAATGTATTTTAAAAAATTTTAAAAAAACTTAAAATTTATAATTTTTTGCGTAAAACTTGTAAAATTACAAAAAATTAAGTTTTGAATAATAGTTTTATATTAACGACGATTCATATAAATATACTATATAGTATATTTTATTTTTTTAAATTGAAACAATCTTTTGCATTTTTTACAAGCCAAAATATGGAGTGGATTCGAATCTACAGCGTCTTAAGAAAAAAATATTTTATTTATAAACCAGTAATAGGACAACTTTTAGCGTTACTTTAAATAAAAAGACTATATTTGTATTTTTTTAACATTTTAGGATTGAAAAAAAAACTACTACAGACATAACATTTTTAGTTTAGCCCAGATCTAAATATGTACTTAATATGCCAAAAAATATTATCTTAATCGATCCAGTAGTTTAAAAAAAGTCCCCAGTCCTAGACATGTTCATTAAAAGTATAATCATTTTGACAGGGTTAAACAACATAGGAAAAAAATATTTTTTTCAGAATATTTTTTTTATTTATTTCAATCATTGTCCTTTGATATAATTTAAATGGATGATTTTACGAAAAAAGTAGAAATCTACTGCCGATTTAATACGAGTATTGTATGCAACCCATTATACATTTTAAGATGTGTCTACTGCTTCTCAGCGGCAACTAAATAATATTTAAAAAAAAGCACCGTCGCGGAGGTCGATTGGACCCTTTTATAAAATGTTGTTTGATAAAAATAATAAGTTAATTTTATTAATTACATTAAAAAATCGCCGCGGCGTTTAAATATATCATAACCGTCGCAACAAACGGTATACGTAGACACTTCCTCCATTCAAAGGACATTTGATTTGATCATCAATATTAATTATTAGTATTATTAAATGCGATTTCGGATAAAATTTAATATGCACCTCGGCATTAAAGTCATTTTTTTAAAAATACGACTTTATTGCCTTGATTCATAAATAAATATTCTACGACAAATACTTATTATTATCCAAACATGATATAAATTGAATATTTGTATAGAGCGACATCTATAGAAAAATAGAGGAACTAGCGTAACCATTTATAACTTAATTGGAATCAGTTTTAAAATGTCAAATTTGTATGTGTAAATCGAGACTTATCCCTTAAAAATGGACTAACAACCGTTTAAATGATCATATAGAAGCAGTGAAAGTGAAGATAATGTTTTATGGGTGGAGTCTCCACCCGAAATTTTTAATGCTTAAATTAAAACTAGTTTACTGCCATCAAAATCAAAAGGTCAGTACAAACTTGCATATATACTTTTCAAATAGGTATTGCCGTTGAGAAACTATTTTATACTTTTTATTTTTGTATTAGATATTAAAATAATGTCCATATTATAATTTCACAAGAAAGGCACTTTATTTTAACGAGTGTATGACATTTGACAACTGTCAACTAACTGAGAGCAGACAAATTATATTATATAATATATATTATATTATTAAATTAAATTTTAAAAAATCCTAATTTTATTTTTTAGCTTCAACCAAAATCACTATTTTAGTTTAATTACCTATGTACAGTCGTATGCAAATAAAAAGCCTACAGCCTTAGAATGAGAGGTACTGCACTTGTCAAATATGGCGAGTTGGGTTATAAAAATACAGTGCCGTAAATGTAAACCAGCCGACAATAAACCGACGGCTGGTTTTCATATAGTAACGTTATTAAATAAATCAAATTAGTATTTAATGCAATAACATTCTAACATTTTAACAAATAAATATCAATATCAATAGATTTAGGAGCGATAACTTTTGATGTTAATTTAAAAACATTAAACGATTATTAACCAAGTGCTAACTACCTATTGGTAACTAACTGTTATTCAGGAATACGGATTACAAGATCCCATTGTTTTAATGGATCACCCATTCATGCTATTTATGTCATTAGGTTAGGAAGTAAGGCTTTTTTATTGAGCGAAGCACAAAAAGGAACTTCTTGGCCGAATGGCATACAACATTTTATCTTTAAAGCACTTTATATAGGTCAATTTAATTCAACATCAAAGCGGCCTAACCTCACTTTTTTAGAATCTCATTTATTTATTAGCTAAAGATTACATTAAATGTACAATAGGTAATTATTATTGCTTTTAGAAGCAGTAATAGTTTGACAATACCTAGCTACATGATTTAAGTAGAAATGGATTTTTGCTATTACATTGATTTCAATTAATTGTTTAATAAATAGGTAGGTATCTAATTTCAATTTGTTTGGATTTTTATTTAAAAAATAGGTAGTTTGGAATGTTTAAGCTGTGTTTAACATTTAATTTCACTGAAAACTTAAAGCAAATTAAATCTTAAAGATAATTTAAATCGTAGAAAAAGAATCGTGCGTTTTCTTGGTTGCCTAACCTCACTTTTTGTTTTATTATTCATATTTAATTTTACAATAATTTATTAAAAAATATTAAACATTAACAGTAAAACAAACAAATTAGTGCTTATTATAAACAAATTAAACCAGTTTAGTACGTTAATTTCTTAGAAAAGGATTAATTTGTCAAAACAATACCCCTAGCGAGAAAAAATCGAACTAATTACTTGCCTCATAAAAATTTTTATCGGCCTAGGCCATAACAAGGTATTACTTTATCGAATGTTGACAACAATAAAGTTTAAATTATAGACCGCGTGGAGATAATAGCTATTTACGTACCATGGGAGGAAAATATTGCTTTTACTCCCGCGAATAGTTTGATGCCCGACGCGAAGCGAAGGGCATTAAATATTCAAGGGAGGAAACGCATTTTCCTCCTGAGGTATGTATATAGTTTTTTCTATTACCTTTTAACGGTTTTAAGTCGTTTTAAGCGTTCCGGTTTCTTTTACTAACCCGGTATGGGGCTATAAAATTATGACAAAATATTAAGTACTAGTTGGTTTTGCGTCGCCGACGTTATGTTGACAACGCTTTGTTGCTATGGTATTTTTGGTAATACCAACATAACAGTTTTTATAAGCCGTCAGAATGTTTATCATAAATTTAATAGTTGCAATTAATTTCCTTCCTTAAAAAACGAAAATAGTGAATATGAATATAGTTTGTTAAAAGAATGTTAAAAGAATGGTTGGACAAGCGCGGAGTAAATCTTTTTCCTACAAAATCAAATAAAGCTAGACAAGGTACAAAAACTCTTGCCAATGTAAAATTGTAAAAAAAGAGGGAGGAAATGTTTTTCCCTCCCGGGGAGGAAAAGAGGCATTTTCCTCCCTCGCTCGGGGTTGGAAAAGTAAGTTTTCTGGTAAGGTAGTAGAAAAAAAATATTTTCTACCTCAATTTCAAAAAATATATTATACAAAGATTATAATAATAATAAAATAATTAAAACTATGTTTTTATTAAAGTGGATTTAATAAAAAATACAATAAAGGAGATTTTTTCGATTAATGTTTGAGTTAAAACTCAGCTACATTTCTTTGATATTAACACTAAAAACTTAACCATCAGTTCTTTCTTATCCACCTAATTTCTTCCATCGCGATCACAGTGCTCATTTCCCTCTCCTTTGGCGACGCATACTCTTTCGCTGTACACTAGGCGCTCTTGATGGCTGGCTGCACCGGCCGCATCTACCTGTGCTGTGTGCCCACTTCGGCGGAGGTGCATCAGGTACCAATTACCCGAGAATTTCGCTGCTCACCGTTCTTCTTCATCTTCTTTGATTCTTCGTCGACATTGCTAATCCATCCGACATCCACATACCAAAGTCATGACACTGAGTTAAATAGATATAGATACTTAAGACCATATCTGAGAAAAATTATGTAATACTATAGTAAAGAAAGTTAATGTTGGGTTAGGTCATGATCAAAATGCAATTTAATAGGATTTGATTGGAAAATGTACGAGGTGTGTTCAGAAAATAACAGGAATTGTTAAATTTCGCGGGTTTGGAGGGTCCGGTTGTCATAAAATTTTCTTTATTATGTTGGTATACATGCCCCCGAAGTATGATAAAAACTTTAGAAGTTTTTATTGTTTACTTTGTCTGTGGCAGCCGCTAAGGTTAGACGTGTTTTATGAGATCGGCGATTTTTCGTTTGTTAAATATAATGGATCAAAGAATTTGTCTCCAATTTTGCTTAAAAAAATAAATAAATTCTGTAAAATGTTAACAAAGGCCTATAGTAAGTCTTCTATAAGTAAAACAAGAGTTTACAAGTGGTATAAGAGTTTCCAAGATGGCCGTGAAGACGTTGAAGATGACGAACGCCCTGAACGCACAAGCACATTAAAAACCGATAAAAACATGGAAAAAATGGTTATAAACCATTAGAGAAGTCGCTGATGATGTTAGTATATCGATTGGCTCATCCCATGAAATTTTTTCGAATGTTTTGGGTATAAAAGCGTGGCAGCAAAATTTGTTCTAAAATTGTTACATTTTGAACAACATTTTTGGCCAAAAACAATACTTTAATGATGCCCCAGCCTCCATATTCGCCAGACATGCCTCTGTCTGACTTTTTCCTATTCCCAAAAATAAAGATAACCTTAATGGGCCGTCGTTTTGCAAGCATAGATGACATTAAAAGCGCATCCCTGAAAGAACTAAAGGCTATCCCAAAGATCGAGTTTTAGAAATGTTTCAAATATACTTACAGCTCTTCTTACAATATATTGTAAGAAGAGCTGGCACATGTGCATAATATCCAATGGGACTATTTTGAAGGCGACAACATTAATGTAGACGAATAAATAAATATTTGTTTCAAAAAACGAAAATTCCCGATATTTTCTGAACACACCTCGTATAGGTACACTTTTTCAGTGAAAATAAGAAATGCAATTTGTTATTTTAAATCATAAATTCAAGACAAGGATCAAGTGTCTTTGCACATTGTA